CTACCCCAGAAAAATGTTATTGTTACCCCCCACATTTAAGCAATAGTGACCCACAACCCCCAAAAATAAAAATTTAACACCATCCCAAACTCTCCATCCCCACCTGTGCCCTATTCTTTCCTTGTGTTTCCCCAGAGCATTTTCTGCTATCTCCTTTGAAGCAAACTGCACGAAGGCCTCCCCTGTGCTTCTCCCCTGGTAGTCCATCGTCAATGTTATCCCATTTGGCACGATTTCCAACCCTTTAACCCAAGGACAAATAACCCCATCAAGGGGAACAGTGTTAAAGGCTGAAACATTCCCATCTGAATCAAATATTTAAAACAAGTCTAAACAAAACAAAACAAAACAAAAAAGCTTAGTTTCCCATCACCCCAAAATACAAACTGAAGACTTTTTCAATTATTGGATTACACAAATTTTTCTTTCAACTAATCTTTTTAAATAACACACACTCTAAAAAGCCCACCTATATTACATGGCAGAGAAAAAAAAAAAGCTCAAACCAAACTTAACTATGCTCCATATGCTAATTCATGGTTCATTTCATCACACATAATTAGTCTCAATTAAATTTATCACACATTAGTTAGGTTTCACATACTCTACACATTCTGTATTGAATGTTAACTGGAGCACATTTCGTAACTTAATACATTAACCAAGATATCATATGCAAATCAAAATCCCCCAAATGGGTTTCACAAATTAAAAACTGAGTAATATAAATATTAAAATACTACTAAACTTTGACTAATACTAGAGGTACCTTGAAAGAACTGAACTATTTCCTCTTTGCTGCAACCAAATGGCAGTCCACGAAGTCGTACTGTCCCATCACTAGCGTCATTTGGACCATTATGTTTCATAACCCAATCCATCTCAATACCGTTTGATTTAAATGCTATAAAAAATAAACAAGCACATAAAGCAGTCAATCAAAATATACTCTTGTCAGAGGTAGTGAAGAAACACCTCTCATTGGTGCACAACAGGAAACATAACATATGCTCAGGTAACAACGCCACAATAAAACAATCCAACACTTCTATTTGGGGGTAGTCAAAAAGACTAGGAAAATGCAGTGAAACCTGACCTCTCCCACAGAGAAGCACTGAGTTTCTAACGATCAAATATTACTTATCGCCTAATTTTAAGAAAACGTATATAATTCCACTCTCAGTCTTCAAACTCTCCCTATTTTTTGATCCTGTCATCTTAATGTCAACTCTAGCCTCCTCTTCATCTCTCAAATTTTCATTGACATTTTCCAGGTTTTATTATTCATTTGAATAGTTATGCGAATTCTTGAAAACTTAATTACTCAAAAGTTGCACACAGTACCACCATCCACTCACAGTAAGAGCCTAGGTCAAAAGTACAATGAGACTTTTTTGATGTTGGAAAAATGGTCTAATCTACAAAGTCTAATTTTATTAGATGCACTACAATTCTGAATACATCAAATTATCTCTGAAGGGGGAAAAATTCCCATCTCTATTTTAACTAATCTGGTTTAAACACTCCTCAAGAACAAGTTTTAAAATGACTGAGTTAAGTAGGTTGAGTTTTAAAATTGAGGTAAAAGGCCACTCAAGTGAATTCCTTCCAACACTATCAGTGTTTTTTGAAGCCACCTGTTTGGAAGTTACTGGACATAGTACATTAAAAACCAGTTTACTCACTGCTTTACTTTTAAACACAAATTTTTAAAAAAAGTAATACATTCACATTCAAAATATTAAAAAGCGTACAGTGAGAAGCCCTCCTTCCCCTCCAAAAAGAACCCATCCAACCAGTTCCCTTCCCAAGAGACAATCATCCTTTCTTTTAAGATTCCAGAACAGTTTCAAGAGGCTAATGCAGAAGTCCTTCAGCTGCAGAAACTTACCAGACCTTACAAATTTCTCTATGCAGCTGTAGGAATCCTACTCACCTGAGTTATTTCAAACCTTTCCCTCACCACCTCCTCCCCTGTAAACAAAGCAATGCGTTCACTTGATTCCTTTATGCTTGAAGATTATATTTCATATCAACAGTATTCACTAATATTTAATTTCACATGATCTAATTATCAGTGCAGCTGTTAGGGATACCATCTGCAAAGAGTAAAATTTTTTTCCTAGAATCCATGCATTTAAAACAAGCTAATGTAGAAACTTTCCAAATGTGGTTATTAATCAAATACTTCTGCATACGAATCACCTTTACTATTTGTTTTGCCGTTTTTTAAAAAGCAAGAATCCTAGGTGCCACTCTAGACACAGAGATCCAAAATGGGAAGAATACGAATTTTTATTTGACATTACAGCTAATTCTTAGGCATGGAAATAACTGGTATGAACTTTTAAGAGAAAAGAAATTCTGGGTTTGAATCCCTAGTCTGCCACCCACTGGGCTTTTTAATTTAAGCAAACTACTTAATTTCTGCGTTCAACTGTAAAATATAGATAGCAGTGGTGCCAACATCTCACAGGACTGTTTTAAGAATCCGTCACAATGCTTGGTCTATAGCATGGTAAACACTGAATGATGACCATTGTTACAGGAGTTTAACGGACCCTGTAAAAACTAATAAAATACACCACAAACAAAATAACTCAACCTGAAAGGATGGAAAACAATTCTGAGTCTTGAAAGGAAATAAGGACCGTTATAACAAGTCTTTTGCAAAGTCAACAAATGCTTAAGCTTTCAGCTTTCAAGTTTCCTTAGGAATTATCTAAGGCAGAGAGGAAAAAAAGAGGGTTTTCTGAAATGTTTACTATAATACATGCTAGACCATTTAAAAAATACTGTTCTAGAGTACCCCTGAAAGAAGCAGGCCCCAAATCAGTTTGGGAAAAGTTAAAAGATATTTTGAAGATCTTGACCATTTTCTTAAAAAAAATTTTTTTAAATTAACACCAACCTAAGAAATAACTGTTTCCTATAAAGGACGATTTAAGACCAGAAGAGGGAAAAAGTGGACAGGACCTAACATCAAATATTATTTCTTCATAAAAAATTTACGTTGCGAAGTCAATCTAATGTGCTGTGAAAAGAATTTAGTGTGGTGCTGATCATTCAGCACATTTCTTTTTTCAACGTAAAGACACTGTTTCAGAAACAAATATAAAAAAGATGTAAATTTATAAATCTCAGCACTTGCCAAGAAATTCCTTGCAAGCAAACTAGTTTCGATTTTTGGATCAGCCTATACCAACGAGACCTACATAAAAACAACAAAGTATTAAGTCCATAAAAAAGACACTAAACTGTTAATTTCAAACTGGGGGTAAAGTTAACCAGATTTGGAAGACAGACTAATTTATAGGGTGACTCTCCATCCCATGCATATGGAGAGTACAGAATAAAAAGACAGCCACACTCGATTATCTCTTCGAAACTCAAAATTTGAGTCTAAAAGAATTCTACTTACTCTAAAGGCATACAAAAAGACAATCAGCTCTAATACCTTAATAGAGCTGTCTCAGAAACTAGAGTTTGCTAATTATTCAGGATAATCCATCTCAACCTTTCTTTGCAACAGTGTCACGGCTAATCACAATTCTGCTTTAAGAATTCCAAGTGTTACCATCAATTAAAAATAGCAGCAGTTGAAATATTAGGATAACTTCAGTCAGTTTTACATGAGATTTTACACATAATTTCCTAACATTATGCTAAGTGAAAAAACCCAGTCACAAAAGACCACACATTGTATGATTTTAAGAGTGAGGTTCATGGTATGTGAATTATCTCTAAGCTATTACTAAAAAGCATCTAACAAAGAGCCAAATGAAATATAAAATTCCTTTATAACATAGAGGCATATACTACCTTCCAAAGTATAATACATAAAGTAAGGGTTTGATGCATCAATCAATTTTTAAGTGGTTGCCCACGGGTCCTAAAAAAATGAGAATGAACTGCAAGTTTCAGCACGAATGTGGTGATATAATTAAAATGGAAATTTTATGTAATTCCCCCTTTCCAATGTGCTTATTCCTTAATTTTAAGTTTAAAAAAACCGTAGACACACCACTAATATCTAAAGGAGGCGAGATCTCTAAAATGATTACCAATGAGTTATTTTCTAGAACAAAGTTACCACCTACTGCAGTTCAGCCACTTGTTTACCAAAATAAGAACACCCAAAAAAAAAAAACCCATGGTTACTAAAAATGCAAAGGCAATGAGATGGAATTCCAAATTATAATGCAGATGAAGACGGCAGGAAAAAAGGTTTCTACGGTAATCCAACTAGGAAAGCTGTTATATCATATACCACTTTATAGGAAACTCTGGGCTGTCTTTTCAAAGTCCACTAAAATCATAGAATGTCTTCAACAGGAAAGTTTTTTGTTTTTAAAGCTGGAAAAGTAGACAACAGACTTCTCGTAAAGATTCATATGCGTTACTGGAAACTCTTATTTTCAGGCCTTGCATGTCTTTTGTACCGTCTTCGGTCAAAATTACCGACCCAGTTCTCTTAAGGACTAAAAATCACATCACACGACTGGGCTTCCCGTTTGTCTTTCTGTTCAGGAGGCTTCTTTTCTCGGTCAAAATATTACTACAGTCCTACGCTAAATAAAAAACATGCTTAGCTACCAAAATAAACTGTATTTCGAAGTATTTTACTTCTGCAGCCTTAATGCCAGAAGAATCTTTGCCCAAAATACAACTCTTGGAGATTTAATGTTGAAAGTCAATAGCTTAATTCCTACACACACACACACACACACACACTTTTGCCATCTCTGGTTGTGTTCTAACAACTTAAATTCTAATCCAATATATGCCAAACCACACAAAACTATTACTAAACCACCCCATCCCCGCCCAAAAAGACGTATCATGGTTCACTGGGCCCAGACGACCTGTCTGAAATATGCCCATTTCACATTCCTATCTGATAAGTCACCCGCTTTTTTGCTTACAAAACAATTACCCACAAAGTCTTTATACGGTTAAGATAAGCGTGAAAAAAAACCCTTTGGAAAATAAGTACGTACTCTTTTCGAAGTTCCAAATCTGGAATATAAGGGCCGGCTAAGCGTCCTTTATTCCTCCCCGCAGACTTTCCGTTTATCTAGCTGCCCTAGAGACCAGAGAGCTAGGGGGAGTCCCCCCCTTCCCTCCCTCCCGGTCCGGCAGCCAAGCCTGGCTTAAAAACCTTGGCCACCGGGCGGCGGAATTACAAAGGAGCCCGTCTGCCTCCTTTGTCCTGGATTTGGGAGTTGAGCGCCTTCGTCGCCATTGGCCTTCCTCCCCCAGCTCCAGCCTCTCTCATCTTGGGAATCTGCGTCAGAAGTCACTCGCAGTCCCGCCAGCCCAGGTAGCCCTGCCGAGACTGCGGAGGAAGGGAGGCCGCGGTGGGAGGCCAGGCCCATCCGGCGCCATTTCCATCGGGAGCGCGCCCGCCAGCCCAGAGCCTCCCCCCGCCCCAAGTGCCCAACCTTTCCCTGCTCGCTTCATTCCCCATCCATATCCCTTCCGGGGCTCTCTGACCACCCCCCGGGCCTTCTAAATCAGTTTTCGGAAGCTGATGGGTGAAAAAACAGAAAGAGGGGAGGGCGGGAAGCCGAGGTGGCCGCGCCACCGTACCCAAAATGGCGGAGGCCAAACCAGCGGGGAAACAGGGGAAATGCTGGGTGACTCCCACTTCGGGTCTCGGCTTCGTCCACTGAATTCCACGTGAGCAAGTCCTCCCGCCGGCAGGCCGCCCTCCTTGAAGTGGGAGATCGCCTGGGAGGCGCAGGCTGGCCGCCTCCGAGCGGCGACCTCCACACTTCCCCCCCACCCCACCCCCCTCCCAGTCTCGGCCTTCTCCCGATTCCGCTCTCGAAACCACCAGCCCAACCTACCCCCTTTTACTTCAGATACCCTGTCGGGCGACAGTAACGCCGACTCCGCTGCTCACGGGGTTTGGTCGTGAGAAGGGAGAAGTCGCTCGTCTCGTGTAGCGCTCCCCACAACGGTTCTCCCAACCGTCTCCAGCCGTGGCAACCACTAAGGGAGCTGCGCAGCAGAGCGACTGGCTGGGGGGGATGGGAGAGAGCGAGCGAGAAGGAGGGGGTGGAGCGAGAGCGGCGAAGACCGCCGGCCCTGCTCTCGCGAGACAAGAGACTCGGTCCCTCCTTGGAGCGGGAAGCACGAAGTGCGGTTGCGCGCTGGTGGGTTGACCACTTGAGGGAGAGGTGGAGAGAAACCGAGGCTGGCCCGCTTAGCGAAAGGCGGCTAAGTCGGCCTTTCTTGCTTACCGTAAAACCATCTAATTCTCAGGGCTCACTTTTCTGCCCTCTCAGGGAGAATGTGAAGTGGCAGCAGTGGTCCTGCGAGCGTGTGTTGACGGAACCGTGGTGTCGCGGTCTGGAAAAGTTCTGTGGTACTCTGCCCCACCAAGAACAAATTCCGTAAAGGCCCCGCCCTTAGCCCAGCGTCACCTGCTTGGAAAGGGCACCACGTGGTTTGGCCGCCTAACGCGAGGACGGCTTTTTTTGTCCACCATGTTTGTATTATGCAGTAAAAATGGGCATGTTTCGGTGCTGCGAAGATGCAAAAGTGTCCGCCAGGCCCAGATTTCAGCTCTGGGGCAGGGGCTTCTCCTTCCCTCGGCCGTGGCGCTGCCGACAACCCCACCCACCGTGCCTCTGGTGTGGGGGGGCTTGATGGATTTCCTCCCTACCGCCTTTCGCTACAAATTGCTCCTCGCTTTCTCCTTTCGCTTTAGCGTTCTCTCTTGCCTTTCATCTGCCACTTTGTAACCTTAGTAACCAGTCGGCCGCTGACGGCCGACTTTGGGTTATTTTCTAAATAGAGCTTTGCATCCTTGAAAACTGCGCGTACAAGTGACACCTAATAAATACTTTTTGGTTGTGCTGTCATACCACCAAGGTTCCTAGTGACATCTTATGGGCTTTTTTTAATTATTGAAAAAAACGCAAGCCGAATTTTTGTGGGAAGGGTGCAGGGCAGTGTTGCTAAAGAGATCCATGTAAGTTAAAGAGCAAACGTAGGAACGTACGTGAAGTACGAAGGAGAAAAGGAAGTGAGTTTCAGCACAGGGATGTTCCTGTAGCTTGGAAACGTGGACGTAACTAGTTTGTAGACCTTCAGTATCCACCCAAAGACTTTGGATTTTATGCTACAGACATTTGGAAGCCCGTCTAGGGTGGGATGAGAGGGCGCATGGGGTGTTAGCAGTGGAGAAGCTTGAATAATTTTTTCTCCCTGTGAGATCTGCAGTGTGTAGGGTGGACACAGGAGGTCATTTACCTTTTTATAATGGAAACTTCCATTTCATGGCTTTAATTCATCCTAACATGCTTAAGACAAGTGTGGGACACTAAGAATTGGCTAGGTCATAGAGCCCTACTGCGTTTCTTGAGCCCACTCTCTCAAAATACCCCTCAGAGAAAGGGAGAAGGAACAGTGTTGTCTTCATTACAAGAGAGAAAAAAACAAAACCAGGATAATGTACTAAAAATAGCTCACATTTATTGAGAGCTTGCTTGAGCTAGGTGCTGTGCTCAATTCACTGACTCTACAATACTGAAAGATAATTATTATCCCCATTTTACAGATGAGGTGCTTGAGTTCTAAAGAAGTGAAAAAGGTTGCCCAAGGTCACACACATAGTGGCAGAAGCTAGGATTTGAACCCAAATGGTTTTACGCCAGGGGCCAGGGTTTTAAAGCACTGTGGACCTTCTCAGGGTTACAAATAATTTAACCATGCATTAAGGGAACAAAAATCATTTTTGGCAAATTGAAGTTACTTCACCTAACAAACACTGGAGTTACAATCTCAGGAGACCTGCAGTTAACAGTTGATTGGCTGGAGACTTTTGAACAGGCCTTAAACTTGATGTCCTCGTGTCACTGACCCTGTGAGCACCACCCCCCCCTTTCTTTTTTTTAATAATTTCTGTATTAGCAAGACTCCAAGCTCCCACACTTCAAATGGAGTTCTTCCGTGGGTTCAAGTTACATCACTACTTGATCCCTTCAGTCTTCCAACCTGATTTGGTAGATGGAATTCTGTAATCTCTTTGACCCTTGCCTGAGTTCAAGCAATCTATTTACTGCCTGATTGAGTTTGGCATTCTTTCCGCATACTTACTTTGTATGGTTATGGGCCACACTCCTAAAATCATCCTAATGACTTTTCAGCACCAAATTGCAATGTTTTCTTGCCACAATTTCTTTGTATTGGGCACTCCGCTGTTTGCCAATGTTAATGCTTAGGAAGGACTTGACATTAGTACGTGCATTCATTTTGCTTTTTTATTATTACAGCAAGTAAGAAGTTTTGAGTTAAAAAAAAGTACACCATATAGGGGTAAACCTAATTTTTATTTGGCTTCCTATTTTACTACTTTTCTCTGAAAAAAAAAATATATCTATCAACTATTCTCATTTTCAAGTTGAATCCTGTGAGTAAGGCTTGGTGAGATTGGCTCACCGCTGCTCCAGTGATCCCTACAGAATTGTTTCCCGATTGATCTCTGTGGAATTGTTTCCATAGAGATGGTTAGAACTAAGGGCTCCCAGCTGCTTTTGGGATTTTTTTCCCTTTGTCTTCCTTTTGGTAATTTCAGTGCTCTCTTATTAGCATAGAGATCAGAGGGACCCTAGAGAGGATCTTGTTAGAGGACATAATGAGAGAAAAGATGAAAAAGGAGAAGGAAATAGAAGTACCCATACCACCCAGAGGAAAACAAGGTAATGAACATGTGGTTATGTATTACACCATCAGGATGAAGAGGAGAGGAAAATTCCATGCAGAGCCTGAGAGAAAGAGATATTAAAAGAGATTGCACTCTTCGGTGGGAGGGAAGGTACATTAACTGAAAATTGGTTAAGGTAGTTGTTCACATAGCCCCAATGGCATTCTAAAATAACTTAAAAATTGGATTATCATAATCTTTTGCCTATTTGAAAAGCAAATAAGCTAAAAATATAACAAAACCCACAAATAAGTTTCTAGGAGTGTGTCTAGTTAAGGTAGTTTTTTTTTTTTTGTGAGGAGATCAGCCCTGTGCTAACATCTGCCAATCCTTGTCTTTTTTTTGCTGAGGAAGACTAGCCCTGGGCTAACATCAGTGCCCATCTTCCTCCACTTTATATGGGACGCCGCCACAGCATGGCTTGCTAAGCAGTGCGTCGGTGCGCGCCCGGGATCCGAACCGGCAAACCCCAGGCCACTGCAGCGGAGCACGCATACTCAACCGCTTGCGCCACCGGGCTAGCCCTAGTTAAGGTAGTTAATATGTTTTGAACACTAAATCTGTCTTACCAAGGTTTTGTGAAATGGGGCCGGCCCTGTGGCTTAGCAGTTAAGTGCGCGCACTCCACTACTGGTGGCCCGGGTTCAGATCCCGGGCGCGCACTGACACACTGCTTCTCCCGCCATGCTGAGGCGGCCTCCCACATACAGCAACTAAAAGAATGTACAACTATGACCTACAACTATCTACTGGGGCTTTGGGGGAAAAAGAGGAGGAAGATTGGCAATAGATGTTAGCTGAGAGCCAGTCTTCCTCAGCAAAAAGAGGAGGATTGGCATGGATGTTAGCTCAGGGCTGATCTTCCTCACAAAAAAAAAAAAAAGGTTTTGTGACATGCTTATTCTTTGATTTATGTCATATATATCTACTGTCTTTAGAAAGCAGTGATCTTCCTTGTCATGATTCAAAATTATTTCTCAAGACAAGGCTTAATTACACAGTTTACATTCTTGATACTTTTTTGTTTAAGTCACCTAAGTGTTCTTCTGCGACTAGGGAAACCAAAAGGTCTCACCTAATTTTAATAATTATATGCTAAGTAAACAAATGGAAACTTAACAGGAAGAAAGCACCTAACACATTCATTCTCTAATTTTTGAAAATATTGAACATTTTTCCTGTTCCAGTGGATTGCTGAGAAGACCAGGGAAGACAGCTACAAAAGATAGCTACTTAAAGAATTTAAAGCAAACTATTATACTGCTCTTAATGTGTCATAAGCACATTAATAGCTTAGAAAACACAACACAGATGATAGAGTAACAGACTGTTTCCCCCTGCGCATGATTTTAAGCTTCTGAGTGGTAGATAAAAATATAGGTTTCATTATATATGTACCTTGCCTCTCAGTGTACAAACAATGATGGTTTATACTGGGGGTGGAGGCACTTTAAATAACTAATTTTCACTACAGTCTAGCACAGTTATTATTTTATGGACCAAGAAATAGAAGAATCAGAAGATAAAATAATGCTCCCGAGTTTACAAAAAGGTCAATGGCAAAACTTAGAATTGTCTTCATAATCAGGAAATCAGACAGACCTAGA